GTGTGTGTGTGTGTGTGTGTGTGTGTGTGTGTGTGTGTGTAGATGTATATATGTGTATATACACACACGCGTGCACACACACACACACACACACACAGACACACACAGATATAACATATTCTCCAGTATCTCATACTCCTAGGAGGAGAGCCTAAAGGAGGAAATAGATAGGATATGGAAAATAAAGGCCAAAGTGATTCCAGTGGTTGTTGGCCTACTCAGGGATGTGTCTCCTAAGCTGGGAGAGTGGCTCCAACAGATTCCAGGAACAACATCAGAAATCTCTGTCCAGAAGAGTGTAATGCTAGGAACAGCTAAGATGCAGCAGAGAACCCTCAAACCCACAGCCTCTGGTGGAGAACCGAGATTGAGAGACATATCACTTATAAGGGTGAGAAGTGGGGAGAGCATTTGCTGTCTCAGGTCAGATGAGGGATCACCCCATTTCTAGTATGTTATACATTATGAAAGTATAAAACAATGGAACATTTATTTATTTAATCTATTTGTATGGCTGTCCATCTTGCAAGAGTAATTTTGGCTAGCTAATCAAACTAAAACCCAATAGAAACAAAACAAGAACAATACCCCCAAACAGCCAATAATGATGAATATAAAAATACAGAGAATATATACACAGAATGGCACCAAGGGCAACAAACAAGAATTATAACAATCCCCAACTCTCTGGCCAGCTTAACCTTCTAACCCCCATACCCCAAAACATCCATGTTTGTAAGACTTTCTAGAATGCTGACTGAATCAGAGCCAGATGGGTCTCAGGGGCATGACAATATTAGGCTCTTTTAACATCATTGCAAATGTGCATTAATTCTGCCTAGAATTAGATACGCATTTTTGTTTTTCTCCACAATGTTCAAAATGGTTTAGATGAATAAATCCAGTGAAATACATGTTTTTTGGATTGACATTCCAAATGAAAGAATTTCAGTCTACTAAATTCCTTAAATATATTTATATCTTTTTGTGTTTAGAGAATACTGGAATGAAATATACTTGTAACTAAATCGAGGTGAATCAAAGGAGAATTTATCAAATATGATATGTGTCTGACTTCATATTTATTGTCTGTTTATTGTCCTTGAAGGTCATTTCTTTATTGTTATTTGGGGAAAAATAGCGTTAATTACTGATTTATTTCATCATAACAGAAAGGTGGGAGATTTTCAAAAAACTCAAGACAAAGAAATTCTACAACATAGATGACCATTCTGCAGAAAAAGCTGAAATCTACTGATTCCTACATAAATCAACATAGGGACACCACGGTAGATACCCAAAAGGAAATGGAGAGAACAGAATATTTAATGTTACCATTTATGATTGTAAAGTTGTGTTTGGATTCTTTTCTGCATTAAAAATCCATCTATTGTTTATTATATATGGGATGAAAGTTTATACGTGGCATTCAAAAATAAAGCTCTGCCTGCAGTCTGGAAACTATTCAGTGCAGAATTCTGTGGGTCTAAGCCAATTTTCTATGGCCATCTCACCACAGCCAACTTCACTCAAACCTTCACTACACAAATGCTATCCTTCCTGCATTCTATATGTCTGTCTATCTGTCTATAGCTGCCCATCTCACACAAAATAACTCTTAATATTAATTTTGTGATTAATTCAGCTGTCCAGGAGCTAATAAGAAATTTGATTTCTGGAGGCTGGGTGATATTGCCAAAGTCAGGGAGCCTGAATTTCTATGGACTAGACAATAAGATGAGTTGATATTGTTTAAACTGGAGAAACCAGAATTTAAACTTGTAGCTGTTCTAAGAAAAATACTATGTTGCTTACCTCTGAGCTATTTTTCCCTTGTATTCCTCTAAATGTCATAGAAAAGGTGAGATAATAAAAAAAAAATTACCTGTACAATTTTGTTAGCGTTATTCACTACAGGATCATTATATCTGTCCCTCCTAACTTCAATAGGAGGATGTGGGCCACACCCATAAGAACATGTAAAGCAAGAGTTGGCATCACAGCCCATGTCCATCAAATATTTCAGCAGGACAAGATACTTCATTGAAAACATTACTGTAGCAGGGAAAGTTGTCGGGTGAGAGGCAATGTAGGCATTAATGTTAGCTCCATAATCAAGAAGCAGTTTCATTGTCTTCAAACAGCCATGGCGGATAGAGATGAGCAATGGATTGATAAGGTCAACATTAGGATCAGCGCCAGCCTCAAGCAACAGCTCAGTGCTATATACATTGTTGTTGAAGACTGCAAAATAGAGGACGCTGGTGCGCCTATCCTCATAGAGTCGGGAACGCTCAAAAGAAAGGGTGGCATTTACATCAAAGCCAGCATCAATTAGCTCTTCCAAGACATCATCATGGTTGCGCTCAGCTGCCAAATGAAGAGGGCTTATGCCACTACGCTTGATGCGAGTACGACTTGTTACTGGGAGTAGCATTTTCACAATCCTGGCAAAAATGAAATTAAAACACAAATGCAATCGAAGTTATTTATTATAAATGGGTATGGTAGGTAAGCTTCAAGTAAGAGACCCTCATGCTCCAATGGGCTGATTTGGGCTGAGATCCCCCCCCTCTCTCTCCCTCCCTCCCCCCCTCACACACACACACATTTTCATACACAAGTTATTGACAAAATATATTGGGGTTTTGAATAAAAGCAGAGAACACAATTCCAGCCTCATTCCCAAGTCCCTGCTCTTTAGTTTCCCAGCCCTTGTGTCCTGCACTTCCTTTTCTAAGATACAGGGTTTTTAAACAATTTTCCTCTGGCAGGGGTACATTACTTGTGGAACATTACTATATCCTGTCAGCATTGTGCATGGTCAGTACTTAGGAATGATGGGAGAAGTGGTTTGTTGATATGTGAAAGGCACAAGTACCTCCCCCGAGTTATGTAAGGTATTAGGGGAAAAACAGGCAATAATTTCTCCCTGTTCATTCTCCTTGGATTGCATGAACAATAGGTGTTTTCAGTATGTGAACAGCAAAAACCAGTGTTCTACATCTGATTTACAGACATACAGAGCTTATTAATGGAAAAGATAGGAAGCTATTATGAATGGTTTTACCTGAAACTTGGATCATTTTGATACAAACCAGCTCCTTCATAGAATAGTATTCTATCAGAGGTGGTATTCAGCCAGTTCTGGAGAACTGGTAGCGGAAATTTTGAGTAATTCGGATAACCAGCAAATACCATCTCTGACTGGCCCCGCCCCATCTATTCTCTGCCTGCCAAGTCCCAGCTGATGGGCTGGGTCTTCTTTTGTTGCCCTGCACAGGAGAATGGAGCTGGAAAGCAGGTTAGTGGGGTGGGGAGGGAATGGGATTTTGCAGTATCCTTTCCCTGCCACGCCCACCAAGCCATGCCACACCCACCAAGCCACACCCACAGAACCAGTAGTAAAAAAATTTGAACCCCACCACTGTATTCTATAAATGGAAGTCTACCCCAACAAGAAAATATTCTAGTTCACCTGTTTAGGTTAGTAACTGGGGCTAGAGTTCTTAAGTTGAATAAACTTATCAAAATATACACCTTATTGATACACATATTACAAAAGTTACACAGAGATTCAGATTTGTTCGTCAAAAGATTAAATCTCAAATTCTTTCTGAAAACAAATCCATATTATTATATAACCCTAACAATTACTATGAGCAATTAAGACTTTCCTGTGCAATGAATCTCATGTGTACCTTGAAATTTACTTGAAGTAAGAATGATTGAAAATAAATTAAAAATATTGACCCTATGATGCTGATCTGTGTAAGACCACTCTGGTTAGAGATGCTGACTTACTAATATAACTTGAAATGGCTCTCGAATCATCAGTTTATATTGTGTACTGAATTTGCAAAATGCTGCTAAAACAGTATAATCACTAGGATTTTTTAAAATTAAATCAACTTGGAAGGGGCCAAACTGTATAACCACCTGTATAACCTTGATACCAAACTATAGCCTTGTGGCCTAAAGAACCCATTTTCCCCATGATTCAGATCTAGCCAACTATTCGAACATCAAGCCAATTGCAGTGGTTCATCTTTTGTAATTCTTACTTCTTTCTGTTCCTTGTCTTGTACCTTTACAAATAAACATTAGCTTTTAAGAACCTTGGAGACAGCTTTTCTTGCCTTTATTTTTTATATTACTAATTCACAATAAGTAACCAAAATAACTCTGCATAAATATGCATATATGGAATAGAGAAAGAAATAGCACATATATCTGCAGTAGAAACTTGAATATCTCTTGTTATTTTGGGTATTCTAAATTGATCTATCACATCCAGACTGTCTTTTATTTAGATGATAACTGAATTTTTGATGTCAACAGCTGAGGTGAACATAACTGATTTTTTAATTTTAACCTGCAGTTTATGCACAGTTAATCTTCATTTGTTAAACTGACCAAATACTGAAAATTAAAGAAGCAACTTACTCATAATAGCCTTTTTTGGAGGCTACATGAATTGGTAAGAACCCATCCTTATTGGTTTTGTTAGCATCAGCTCCTTGAGACAAGAGAAATTCCACAATCTTCTCATGTCCATTTTTTGAAGCTTCATAGAGAGCTGAAGCTTTGTCACTAGCTTGGGTATTGATATCAGCACCTGAAAATGAAAGATGTGTAAAGTAGAATCTCAAAAGATCTGGGATTAATAAGAGCACATAGTTCTTTACCAGGAATTTCTAGTCCAAAGAAAACATAAAGATTTCCAACAACAGCTTTATGCTTGTGAAGTGCTGGAAATCATACAATAATTTGATTCAATGCACGCAGAATAAATACATTTACACCGTAAAATATAATCTCCTTGTATTTTGCAGCTGTTTATTTTCCTTTTTCAGCTCAAAAAAAGTCAGTTATGACAAGAGATATGATATGGTTGAGTGAACTCTTTTGATTAGGGTTTCAAGAAATCCTTTTTCTAGGAGCATACCCATGAAGGCAATGGAATGGCTGGACCAAGCGAGGGGGAGATAGAGATGCAGACAAAAAATGCAGTCAAAGAAATAACTGGGACAGCTTTCTTCTTTGCAGATAAACCACACACACACACATGCGCGCGCACACACACACTTTGAGAACAAACCTCTTTCAATAGGGTGGTGGTTTCATTTAAACAAACATGTCAAAATTCAGCTGCACAAATCTCTGCCAAGCAGAATTTTTTTCCCTTGCAAACAACAGAAAACTCTGTTATATTTGGCAGACTTAACAAAACTGTAACTAGAAACACAATTACAAAGCCCAACACTAGACTTCTTTTCAATAAGAAAAAAATGAATATTCAATTAATGCAAATATTGCACATTTACAAGAGGAATAAAATTATTTTAGGATTCTCAGACAGGCTTTAAAGCTTGGAATAATATACAAGTGTAATGATGTTTCTTGACATTTCTATTGTTTCTGTTTCATTTATAAATAAAATAATAGTAAATATAAATATTTAAATGTACTCAAAATGAAACCAATAGCAAATTATAGGCTGATTAAAGGAAAGCACAAATGAAAAATGAATGAATGCTGTACAGACTACAACCGATCCATCAATGGTTCGATTGTGGCCTCCTGCATTTGGTACTTACCACATTTTGCCAGGAATCTCAAGGCTTCTAAGTGGCCACTCTCAGCTGCTACAAATAAAGAGGTAATTCCATAACAGTTTGTAGATTCAACCTTGGCACCTCCTTGAAGTAAAAGTTCTATAATTTCTAAATCATTTCGAGCAACAGCTTCATGAAGAGCCGTCCATCCACGATTGCAGCGATGGTTCACATCAGCATTGTACTGCAATAATACCTGCACGGCTTCAGAATTTTTGCGTTCACAAGCTGTCATGTCAAAAGAAAGAAAATCTGTATGTTGAGAGCTATTATTTTATTAATTATGACACCAGCTACAGCACGGGCCATGCATACGAACATATCTTGTATTTTATTTCTCTGGGGAGATTTGTGGGGGGAGGAAATAATTTGAAATCCATGAATTTATTTTTGTTAAATGGAACAGATGTATTTCTTGAGGCCAAAACAATTTTATAACCAGAAAATTAAGAATTAGAAATGGAAATTTCAAGGGCATGTTGGGGGAAATATTGGAGGGAAAAAGGATGGGAACCTCTTTATTTCTCTGGCATATCCTACTTTCAAGACAAATTATGAACATTCAACACTCATTACATGTGTGAAGGTTCCAGGGCAGAAAACATTTCCAAATCTAAAGACACCAGTACATTCTAGCTCAAAATCCAACATGAATGAAGTTACATACCCTTATAAAGTGGGGTCTCCCTGGCTTTATTAGCAATATCAGGTTCTGCTCCAGCCTGAAGCAATGAACGCATACAATCAATATTCCCTCTGTTTGTTGCTAAATAGAGTGCTGTTTCTTCCTGAAGTGTACGTTGATCAATTGTCCCAGGGAAAGCTATTGAGAAAACATTGAACCACATTAAGCAAGGCGTACAGCGCATCTAGATAATATTAATTTAGCCTTCTCCAAACTGATGTACCCCAGATGTACGAAACCACAGCTCTGTTCTTGGCAGCATAGCCAAGCAGATAAATAAAGTTATAATCTAATGCACCTGAATGATCAAGGCTAAAAGCTCACCCATGGCAATTACTATTGGAACCTATATAAGATGGTAAAGTACTTTAGTAGATAGCATATATTGATAGATTAATGTCTTTGAGACTTAATTGGTATGCGTTGCATTGATTTGCTTTTGTAGGAAGATAGGATCATTGTAGAATAGCTTTGGAAAGTACCACTGCCTGAGATCATCATCATCATCATCATCGTCGTCGTCATCTTTTATATCAGTACAACAGTATAAACAGACAAAATGTTCATATACTAAGTCCACAGCTTTCTTATGAAAAAGCATTACAGTCTTTTAAAGCTATGAACCAAGCTGGGTTTGAATCAAATGTGCTTTCCTTCAATAAATACCATGAAGACTTGGAAATTCTCTCTCTCTCTCTCTCTCTCTCTCTCTCTCTCTCTCTCTCTCACACACACACACACACACACACACACACACACACACACACACATGCATAGAGAGAGTGGGGAGATAGATAGTAGACATGGGGCATTCATTTATTTAACATTACTGTAAACTACCCAAGATTATGTTGAATAAGATAAATAACCATTTAAGTTTCTAAGTTAAAAAATACGTAAATAATGAAATTATGAAAACTTGCTTTCATTGCTGTTTACAGATAACAAACTCATGTTCAAATTTGGGGGAACTGTTTAAATAAAATGTGCATGTGTAGAAACAAGTTGCATACGCAAGCTACTTTTCTATGTTATATATAATACAACCTAATAGGTTGCTTTGTATCATAAAGTGACTTTGTCTTTCATCCACTCTGCAATCAGCCCCTTTCCTGATACTTGCCTCTATGCAGAAGTTTCAAGCAGCCCTCTTGTCCATAATAAGCAGCTTCGTGGAGTGGCAACCATCCATCTTTGTTAGGCTGTGCAAGGTTTTTTCCTGCCTGTATCATGTTCTGCAGTGCGGTTTCGTCTCCTTCCTTGATCACCAACACTACAGGATCCAGCACTCTTTAAAACAAAAGGGAGAACTGATCACTTTCTCTAGAATTATTTCTGACACAGGATTTGCAATGCCTGTTTGCATATTTATTTGTACCATATATATACCATGTATATCGAGTACCATTTGATGTCACCACACTTCACAAGGATTGACAAAGCTGCACAATAAATGTAAAAGGGAAAGCGATTCAGGAAGCAAACTGAAACAAAATATTATATAGATGAAAATATAAACGGAAATGTTACTAGTGTCAAACCTATATGTAAAAACTAAAGTCACCTTCAACTCAAATTCAGTTCATAGTTTTCTTGGCAACAGGACAAAATGGGTTGCCATTACATTCTTTTGGGATTATTTTGTCTTCTCAGTCTAGTCTGCATCTTGACATTCTCTCATGGTCTCCCATTCTACTAACTAGGCCAGATATGACAAAACTGCAGCTGTCAAAACTGTTTTGTAAATACAGATACAGAAAGTACAATAAAGTCCTCAACTTACCACAGTTCCTTTAGTGATCATTCAAAGTTATAACAGCACTGAAAAAAGTGACTTATGACAGTTTTTTATACTTATGACCATTGCAGCATCCCCAAAGTCATGTGATTTACATTTGGATGCTTGGCAACTGGTTCATATTTATGAGGTTGCACTGTCCCAGGGTCATATGATCCCCTTTTTCAACTTTCTGATAAGTAAAAGTCAATGGGGAAGCCAGATTTACTTAACAACCATGTTACTAACTTAACAACTGAAGTGATTCACTTAACAACTGTGGCAAGAAAAGTCGTAAAATGGGGCAAAACTCATTTAATAAATTTCTCACTTAGCAATATAAATTTTAGGGTCAACTGTAGTCATAGGTGAAGGACTATCAGTATACTAATCATACTGAGGCACTGTGGTTAATTTAACTACTAAACAACATGTACGTATTATGGCCATAGTAGGGCCCTCATCAGAGAGCTGACAGCTTTTGCAACATGTAGTAATATATACTGTATAATTCCTTCAAGGACTATGAAAAATTGATTATTGCTAATTATTCTATATTGGAATAAAATGCATTGTGGCAATGTAGCTAAAGAAAAAAAAATCTGGCTTAAATGGCAGTCAAAATTAATCACTAGAGAAGCCACTCATTCTTACTTTTTCTGACTCAGCTCAATGCACCAGAAAAGCCTATAAGTGACACCAAAACCAAATGAAGTTAACTATTAGGCTTTCAAGAGAGAGAAGCTCAAGCAAAGATAGAAATGGTGGAAGAGGGCAAACAGTCTAAGGGAGCAAAATTTCCTTCAGTTAGTTTTGTAAATTCTTCACGAACTGCTTAATATGTCATTCCAGCTGCCTAAACAAACCTACCTCATAAAAACAACATTTTTCAACAGAAAAGGGAAAGGAAGGACTTACTCAGCCTGGGGTAAGATGAAGAAGCTGCCATCGTACCTCCGCCTGACTCCTGAACCGGATGCTGAAGTCTGGCCTCCGGACTGTGTAGCACGCCTGAAGTGATGACAGCATGAATAAAATAGCGAAAAATACTCTGAATAAGAAAAGCAAATCATATCTGGTCTTGTAAAGAAATCAGAAAATGAGACCGAAGAAGAGAGACAAAGAGAACCTGTTTCTGAGGCTTAAACAAAAGCAGATGGTCTTGGCTTTTTTAGGCCTTGGTCTCAGCTGCTCTTTCACTCCTAGACTATTTTTGGCCCTCAGAGGAAGTGTCATGGGATTTAAATGACCATATATGACTGCAATGAGATTAATCCCACTACCACACAGCAGGCCGAGAAAGGACTTGAAGGCATTTCCACTTCAGGGGGAAGAAAGGCCTGAGAGTGTTGTTCAGAAATGAAAAGAAAAAGAAAGCTCTGAGGTTGGTTCTGAGTGACAAGGTTGTGCAAAACACCTGAAAGAACTGTTTCAAAGCTTGTCTCTTCAAGCCTGAAACAGCCACATCTTTGGCAATACTTATGCAACCACTCTGAATGTTGCTTCTGCTATTTGCATGTGTGTATGCAGGATTTCAGATCTGAAGACAGAAAGTGCTTCATGGCCCAAGACTCATAAACTGGCCTGCAACTCTATAAACCCAACATAGCTTTTCTGACAGGTCTGGAAGGCAGCTACACAATCCCAGGAAAATGTGCAGCTTCTTTTAAAAAATTGCAGACAAACGTGTATTAGGTTTTTCTTCCACACATACACTCCAAAGCAGCTTCTCCTTTTCCGTCTTAAGCTCCTTGAACCTAAGCAGAACTACTTTGTGTCAGTGCCAGGGACAGAATGGGGTGTGGGTGCACATGGATGGAGATCTAGAGAAGCTTTGGAAGTAGTTGTGTGTCTCTTGCAAAAGATGTGGTTGCTTTAATGCTTTGAAGAAGAATGCTGTGTCAGAGAGCTTTGCACAACTAACTAAACCAGGTCAGGAGGAGATTGCTAGGTTGGGCCTAATTTTCATAAGCTTCCAATATCTTTTCAAGTTGCCCTGAAGATAGAATTATATCAGATGCAGCTTTTCCGGTCATCAGAGATTTCCAATGATGGGCCAAAGCATACATGGAATCAATCTTTATGTATGGGCTTTAGCAAGTATTTTAATTGATTATTTTAAATAAATAAATATATATATATATATATATATATATATATATATATATATATATATATGTTTTCTTAAGTTTTCGCAAGTACTTACATGTATGGTATTCAGCTTTGTTAGGGTATTTTCCCACGTCATTATAGTTGTGCTTTTAAAGTTGTAGCAACGTTTCGGCAGAATCTTATCTGCCATCATCAGGCTTCTGACGAACACTATACAGATGAGATTCTGCCGAAACGTTGCTACAACTTTAAAAGCACAACTCTAATGACGTGGGAAAATACCCAAACAAAGCTGAATGCCATACATATAAATACCCATGAAAACTTAAGAAAACACACACACACGCACACACACACACACACACACACACACACACACACACACACACATATATGTAAATATATGTGTCATTATATATATATATATATATATATACATACATACATACATACACACATACACACATACATGTAATCAATACAGGAGAGATTTTGTTCCCCTCTCCCCATGACACAAAGATTTCCATTTTCTTTTAAAAGCCTTTTTAAAAAGGGAACCAAAAGAACAATGCAACTGAATTGTGAAAGGCCATCCATTTAGACAACTCAGAGAATGGGGGAATCATTCATCAACCAAGGATGCCTGGCTCACCGGCACATTAAGTGGGTGCAGCTTCATTTTTTACACCTTTCTTGCAGTGGTGGGGTCCAGCCAATTCGGACCACTTCAGGAGAGCCAGTTGCTAAGTTTCTAAGCAGTTTGGTGAATTGGTTGTTGGAAGAAATCATTAGAGCAGAGAACCAATTGTTAAATCATTTGAATCCCACCACTGTTTTCTTGCCCCACTTTCTTCATATCCTTCATCATGGAGGTGCACAATTTATCCAGGGCTGAGTAACCCAATTGGCCTTTGAGTGTCATCCTGCAGCAGAAGAAGTGTGGTGGGGGACGGGAAAAGAAGCTTTCTCCATTGTGACGTCTGAACCTTGGAATACAGGTAGTCAGGGGTGGGATGCTACCGGTTCTGCCCAGCTCTATAAAACCGGTAGCTGTGAAGAGCAGCAGACACCGAACTGGTTCTGCATCTGCTGCTGCTGGGCCCGCCTGCCCACCCGGGCTCTTACTGTCCTTTATTTCCTACTTTTTCAACCTCAGCTGCTTTGCGCGACACAGCTGAGGTTGAAAAAGCATGAGAAAAGAGGGTTTTCAAATGCTGTGCACCTGCGCGCTGTGCTTTTCAGCTCTCCAGGTGGCACAGCTTAAGGTTTTTTTACATGCGCATGCAGCGTAAAGCATAGTCACCGAACCGATAGTAACACCAGTTGAATCTCACCCCTGCAGGTAGTCCTTAGCTTAGAGCCACAATTGATCCCAACATTTCTGTTGCTAAGCAAGACTGTTGTTAAGTGAGTTTTGCCCCATTTTACGACTTGCCACAGTTGGTAAGTGAATCACATAGCAGTTGCTACGTTAGTAACCCTGGTTGTTACATGAATCCGGCTTCCTCATTGACTTTGCTTGATAGAAGGTTGCAAAAGGTGATCACATGACCCCAGGACACTGCAACCATCATAAATGTGAATCACTTGCCAAGCATCTGAATTTTGAGCATGTGACCCTGGGTATGCTGCAACAGTTGTAAGTGTGAAAAACGGTCATAAGTCACTTTTTTCAGAGCCGATGTAACATTGAAAAAGTCACTAAAGGAAGTGTTTTAAATCAGGGACCAGCTGTATTCTTTTCCCATGAGAGTGAGAGACAGTTTGATGCAGCAATTAAGGCATTGGCTGGGAACTGGGAGGCTGTGAGTTCTAGCCCTTCCTTAGGAACAAAGCCAGCTGGGTGACCTTGGGCCCATCGCTTTCTCTCACCCTGGAAAAGGACAAAATGACAAACCACTTCTGAGTTCTGGGACTTGTTCAGGCAGTTGCCAGGAATCAACACTAATCAAAATGGAAGTAAAGTGAAGGTTTCATGTCAAGGATTTAGTGACCGTAACATGGTTTTTGTTCCTTAAGGGTTACCTGACAGTGCTACTCACTTAACTATATATATATGTTTCTTAAGAGCTTTGGTGGCACAGTGGTTAGAGTGCAGTACTGCAGGCTACTTCTGCTGACTGCTGGCTGCCTTCAACTTGGCAGTTTGAATCTCACCAGCTCAAGGTTGACTCAGCCTTCCATCCTTCCAAGATGGGTAAAATGAGGACCCAGATTGTTGACTCTGTAAACCACTTAGAGAGGGCTTGAAACACTATAAAGCGGTAAGTCTAACTGCTATTGCTATTAACAAATCTATTCTTCATGTGTTTTAATCTAACTTGTTTTATGTTGTGGCCTATGAAAAATATTCCTCAAGGAAATATGTTTGACTGTTCTCCTATTATTTTAGAAAATGGCAAACTGCAACTTTTGCCAAAAATTTTATTAAACAATTTTGATTGTAGCTTTGTTTTTATTTATTTATATCCTAATATTAAGCAAAAATCAAGAACACGAGGGCATAATTTCAAACAGACAGGAGGGAAGTTCAAAAATAGAATATTTCTTCTCAGAAAGCATTTAAACACACTTGGGATAAACACTTGTCCATCATCCAACAAAAATGTAAAAAATAAAAATAATGAAAAATAATAATGAAAATAAAAATAAAAAATTCAGAGGGCAGACTCAATGGACCACTAAGTCTTTTTCTGCCATGTTTCTGTGTTTCTATGTCCTGCCTTTATTATTTTTATAAATCACTGAAGGCAGCAAACATATCTAATACACCTTCCTACTCCTATTTTTCCCTAATAACAACCCCATCAGATGAGTTGGGCTGAGAGAATGTGACTGGCCCAAAGTCACCCAGCCAGCTTTCAGCCTAAGGCAAGAATAGAATTCACAGCCTCCTGGTTTCTGGTCTGGTGCCTTAACCACTGGTTTTTAATTTTGTATTTATTATTGTTGAGTACCTTCATTGCTTGTACAAATAGAAAGACAGGATATCAATATTTTTAAAATAAGTTTAAAAATACTTTATGGCAAATTATAATTTCTAAAATATGCCATTCAGGGCAACTAGATTTTGTATGGAGTGGGCCTATTTTACTCATAAAGAATTTTTACTTTAGGTGTGGAATGTTTATCCGCTCATCTGCAAAAATATCCCTCTGGACAAGGGATTAGGGACAGTTGATATCCCTTTCCTATAGTACAGGATATGTAAACCTAATTTTCTTACTGAGAAATGTAAAGATTAATATTGCTGTATTGGCCTGTTTGTTATGATGATCCAAGACAGCTGGATAAAGGCTGATGGAGTTGAGTCATATAAATTCTGTCAGAATAAACAACTTATGAGTGGAGTCAATATTACCTCTGGATCACCTTGGGAAACCCAACTGTTCCCTTTATTTAAAGACAGAACTCTATAAGCCACACACTGCTCTCAGTCTACTAAACTAGCCTACTACTACAGGTGTGCTGGATTACATTTTACAATCAATAGTTCTGCATTCATCTAATCCAGGGGTGTCAAACTGATGGCCCGTGGGCTAGATGCGTCACATGCAAGCCACACCCACCCAAGATCCATGAAGGGAAAAAGACATTGTGAAATGTCATGTGATGGCAACATGACACCACAAGCTTGACACCTGTGAGATTGTAATCCAACTTGGATGAGATGAGAAAGCCATCCTTTCCTTCTCTGCCAGCAACAAAAGATCATTAATTAGGTCTACATGTGTTTACTTACCATTTTAAATGATATCAGTCCTTAAAACTTAGCTGATCCCAAATGCTGAGAGATCAGATTATAGACCAGGACAGTTATGAGGAGCATTGGAGTCTTGCCCACATGTGACTGTATCTAAGTACAGGCAATTTGGAAGACTTTATCTTTGGTTATTCGGATTCTCTCTCTGTCCCTCAGCTTGAATATGAAAGACTTCTTGATAGCTGCTCTCTAAACTTCAGAACTGTTTGTCAAAAGAGATTAAATTAATTTTACCTCTTCCTCCATCAATTAATGGGGAAAATGCTACTCATTTGTTGTTGAATTAGATCTAAACTGATAGCTTAGGGGTTTTCTTAAAGTTGTGTTTTAATTGTATCTGAGTGCAAGAACATACTTTTTTATTTCTAGAAATCTATAGTATGATGTTTGGGGGAAAGACATGATATGGAAGAATTATACTGTAAATTGATGATTTAAGATTAATTAAGAATGCAAGTAAAGATTTTAGAGATAAGGAAAGTATGACCCACCGTGTGCTGCTGATTTATATCTATCAGCACATCCAGTAGGTATGATCAGTAGGGGATATACTGGGTGTTGTAATTCAACAGAATTTGGAAGATTGTAAGCCCTCATACCTGAGTGAGAAGAATAATTTAACTTTTCTTATTACAAAGGAAATCCAGATTCAGATAGAGTAGTTATGAAAGAATCCCCAGATTCTAATTAATCTGGAATTGGGGGAGAATACTTACATGAGAAAGAGCCATGCCTTTTAAACTGTCTTCTGGAACCTAACTCAGGGCCAAGCTACACATTATACACATTGAGTATAATTACATTATATGTAACTCCTTGGAACATCTCTGAAAATGTTCCAGCCAGTACAGGTAGCCCTTGACTTAGGACCACAATTGAGCCTAAAATTGCTGCTGCAAAATGAAACATTTGTTAAATGAGGTTTTTTTGCCCCATTTTGCAATCTTTCTTGCCACAGTTGTTAAGTGAATCATTGCAGTTAAGTTAGTAATATGGTTGTTAAGTGATATGATGGGGAACTTCCACAAAGCTTCAAGAAAGCTGTATCAGAAAAAAATGCAACACTGAGGTGTAGACGTGTGCAGAATTCTGAGTTGTCTCTCATCTGTGCTTTCTCCCTGGCATGCTTACCTTTCCCAAGGATAAAGGTAGAAGTTCTGACAGTAAGGTTCACAGGGTGGTGGTGCCGCAGTAACTGTCTTCTGCGCAGCTATTTGTTCAGCAGGGTCTTCTGTCAAACTCTGCTCAATGGCCATCTGAATAAGTTCCTCCTCACTCATGCTGCTGTAGAGGCTGTATTCCTCATGTCCAATTGTACCTGCTCTTGCTACGGTAACTTGTGTTGTCATTTTCCGTTCTCTTGTAAGTCAGAAGGGATGGTTAAAAATAACCCTGGAATGCATATAAATACAGGTCACATACCTTATCATGGGTAGGTCACATCAGGGGTGGGATACAACAGGGTTAACTACCGGTTCAGGATTTACGAACTTCCCTGCATGCTGGGAGCCGCGCGCCTGTAAATCATCATCAGCATGCTGGGTGCAGAGAAGCAGCCTTTGAAACAGGCCTCTTTTCCTGCTTTTTAAACTGCAGCTGTGCCTCGTTCGGCAGCTGAAGTTGCAAAATCAGAAAATAAAGATCAGGTAAAAGCCCGGGTGGGCAAAAACATCAGCAGACATAGAACCGGTTCTATGTCTGCTGATCTTCAGAACTACCAGTTCTACAGAGGTGGACAGAACCAGTAGAAATGCACCCCTGGATCACATGGACTCTGCTGTCACTCAAGCAATACTTTACTCCCCAGTTTCCAGGCACTGAAAATGTGATAACAGATGAAGGCTGACTTCACGCCTGATTTCAAACCTTATGAGCTTATGGGCATCTCAGGGAGAACATCAGCTGTGACCCCTCCCACCCCAAAGACAATGACCACCGAATGGTAACTTTTGACATAAAGAAGGGGAGACATTATTACATGATTTAAAACTTTATCTCATCATAGTAATTATATGTAATTAGTTTAAAGATGATTGTAATTTAAATGCATTTGATTTCAATCCTCTTCCCATCTTTTATCATGACCAAACATTTTTACTTGTGGAAATGGTTTCTTGACACATCATTTAAAAAACAAGTGACACAGGATTTTTCTATACATTCCCCATGGATCATCTTAAATACACAGTCATCTTCTTTGGAATAAATACGTTTTTCTTTTTTATTCTTTTTATTCTTAAATTAAACTTGAACAACTTATAAAGTAGTTAAAATTATTGTCTGATTGCTTCATGTTTTTTATTGTTACTAGTGTTATTAATTTTCTTATCCATTTGATTTATATCCCACTTTTCTTCCAGCTCAATGCAATATATGTTATCTGCCTCTAATTTCAGGTCTAAAGCAGAGTGTTATTGGAATAATCACATTACTGACCTAAAAGTATCTCATTAGTCTGATCAGATAGATAGAATGTATGATTATGTTTAAGGAAACCTGGTTTCAACTCTGTATTTAACCATAAAAATGTATTAAATGACTGGGTCAATTTGTGATACCTACTTTTGTCAAAACGTTTCTTTGTAACATGAATAAATATATTTGCAAAATTTGGATTATTATTTAGTTCTTTCTCCCAGTGCCTTCATATGTCAAGTTTATTGTTGTCCAACTTGTTGCTCAGGCATTCAGTCCATGTGATGATTCTGGTAAAACGTTAAACTCCCACTGACATCACTCAAATGATATCTTTTTTTGGCAGATCTTTTTGCATTCTCAAGCTCTTATGTTTTGAATGTCTGAATTGAGGAAAAACAGAATGAATGTGGAGGGAAATCATTGGGTGATACCAAATAGACGACAGTGTGGCATAGATGACTAAGTGCCAATCTGACTCTACATTTCTAGAGCAGAAGTACCCTAGTATGTCTTGGGGGAATATGGACGTATCCTTAATGGAAGTAATGTATTCAGAGCAGTTTCTTCTTCTTTCATGCATATGTTCTGGCTGGCAACAACTAGTAGCAGAATGTTGGGTAGGTACTCGGTCTTAAATCAAATAGATTGTGCCTGTGGTTGATTGTATTGGTCTGGATTCCCAGGAGGGAAAGGGTACTTTCCAGAGGAGTAAGCGATAGCTCATTTCAAATAGTCTGTGTCAGACAAAGTGGATGAAGACAGTCCCTCCTTGACAGTTCTTATTGTACAATTCCTTAGACCGGTGGTTCCTTAACACAAAGATAAATGTATTAAATAAATAAATAAATCACCAGGGTTAAAGGAAAATGTACCAAATTAGAAGCAATATGATAGCCATACATATTTTATGCACTCATTGTCCCAGTTACATATAACATGGAGACAGTTTTTCTATTCGAAGTGTTTACGTGTATTACTAGGAAGAATAATCTTCTTCTCCCTTGCATTGGCCTGAGGTGTTGCATTATTTTCTGCATTACCATCCTTGTTTCAGTATCCAAAAAATAAACCAGGGAAGGGATTTATCTACTTTCTTTCACCATCTACTCCATTTTAAACAAATAGTAATTTCCCCTTGCTTTTTATGAGAAGGGGAAAGGCGTATGGTAAATTTTAGCATCATAAACATTTTGTTATAAACTTTGTAAATTAGATGACTGTTTCTCTAAAACATTGAAAAGCTTCTGGGGACCTAAAAGGAAACTTCTCTAAGGATGTCATCAAACAAGCTTTCTTCCCAAGGCACAGCAATAGAGGAAAAACAACAATTGGCAGACTTTAAAATAACAATTGGCAGACTTTAAAAATGTAATGTAAAAGATTATTCCCATTAGTTGATATTTTCAGAGAATTGTATATTTTCTACAAAATCAGAAGGGGCCTCTTATTAGTGCTATTACAAATCAACTTTCCCACTTTCCTTCCCACTCATCGTCTCTAGGGTTGTGTATTTTAAAAATATTCTGCTTGGGTCAGGTTGCAACTGGCATTTGCCAAGTATTTCATATGACACATAAAACAAAATAAACAGCTTGCAGCAGGTCACTGTGTGAAAAGCATTGCAAAGCAAAACTTCCCTTTTAGTAGGTATAGTGTTGCTTGCTGTTTTATAACAGCAATAAAATAATTATCTGGATACCCTGGAAAAATTGTGCACTAAACAGCATAGTTGCTTTAAATGTATTCCAATCCAAACAATATGACTTGGAGACCAAGCTGAATTTGTCAAAAAAAACCTAAACTTTGGAGGAGTGGCATAGCCCCTAGGTACCACTGCACTAAAATTCCCGGCATCCATAGCTGATTTTGCTAGTAAACAAATATAATGGAAGCTGCAATTGGTGATTGTTCTGTTATATCACTATCTTAGAATTTTGGCTCATCCCTTTGTGGCAAGCTCCATCAACTCAGTAACTGCTTATTTATGCTTTCGCCAAATATATCTATAGAGTTTAGACCTGAACTTTGACAAGGCCCTTCAAAAATCCTGAATTGTTTCTTCTTCCTCTATTCTCTTGTAGACTTGCTTGTACATTGACTTGCTGCTTGGCCCACTTAACACTTCAGCTTCAACTAACAGAGATGGGCTGTTCTGTAGAATTCTTTGATACAAAGCAGAATCCATGCTTTCTTCAATGATTTTAAGTATTCAAGTATTTGGCTGAGGTATCTGGCAATATGCAGGTGATTAACCGAGATGCTGCAGTTCAATGTGTACAATGTTTTGGTGCCAGGGGACATACTCCACAAAGTACTGTAGGTGGAGCAGCTCAATAAAGTACACTTTAGTGGCAATGTTTTAAAGGATTCTGGGCCAAAGCCAATGTTTTCAAGAGCCTCATGTTGTATACCCCTGATAAGACAAGCACCTTCAAACATTACCAGATTTATGTACATGACTTGTCCCTTGTTTTCCTTTTAGGTTAAGAATGAAATAACAAAGAAACTGTTACTGTGAAATAGAAGTAAGCAATCTGGGGTTCTCCAGATGTTTTATTAAATTGTACTTTTTACAATTTTTTTAGAATAGAACATAATTCTTTATTGGCCAAGTGTGATTGGACACACAAGGAATTTGTCGGTGAAAATACTCTCAGTATACATAAAGAAAAGGTACATTTGTCAAGAGTCAAGAATCATAAGGAATAACACTTAAAAACAGTCATAGGGTACAATAAACAATCAAATCATACTAGGAAACAGTCAATAAAAATCGTTAGGATACAAGCAACAAGGTTACAGTCACACAGTCACAAGTGGGAGGTGATGGGTGAAAGGAAGGATGGGAAGATTATAGTAATAGTAATAGTAATGCAGACTTAGTAAATAGTTTGCCAGTGTTGAGGGAATTATTTGTTTAGCAGAATGATGGCGTTCGGGGAAAAAAAACTGTTCTTGTAAATTTCTTGCCATTAGCTAAAGTGTATCAATGGATTGACTGTTTTCATGTATCTGCCCTACGATAGAAGTTTCAAACAGGAATCACCTGAAGTATGAATGAGGCGTTGTTTGCCACATTTGTCTGGTCCCTTTAAAATCTCATTCTCTATAGAATTTCTGCAAATTGCAGGGTGGTGGTGGAAAGCAATGGTGAAATCTTGCCTTACTGTTGACTGAGTGCTGTTACCCTTTCCAGAACTCAGAAAGCCTCCGTATTTCCAGGCTGCTTTGCTAAATTTTTCTAAGACTTTCTGATATCCATAAGAAAATATTAATTAGCAATTGTTGATTTGATTTGATTAGATTTGAAAATTTAACCGAAATGGGGTCTCCTGGTTCTTACAAGTTTTATTCATATGAAGCCAGGATTTGGACAAAGTCCAACTGACTTTGAGATCAGGGCCCTTAGAACTTTTTATTCAAAGGCCTAATCATTGCTAAGAATATATGCTATAAACCTAGATTATCCGTATGTTCAGACTCTTTTATTCTATCAAATCAAGAATTTTGACAAATTGTAGATTGACTTTAGCATATGAGATCTTAGCCCTTGGTACTATGGATTCGATGACCTATTCATTGCTATGAATATACACTATGAACCTGGATAATCGATATGCTTAGACTGTTAATTACATAGAATTCATAATGATAATAGTTCTATAATATACCAAAATGGATGTCCTGCAATTTGTCCTGCTTCTCATATTCCTTACACGTCATAGCAAACATAATGAAAGCAAAAACAAAGTTTGCATTAAAAATTGTCCTTGGTAGAAGTGTGGTTAGGTAGCTTTAACTTTTGGATTTAATGGTCCTACAGGAAGCCCCTTCCTTAGATAATAAGTAAACATTAGATTACTTTAAAATGTGGTAAACCAATCCAGCTATTCATTTAGCTGATTAGATCAGTGCCTTGTAACCTTGGCTACTTTAAGATGTGTGGACTTCAATTCCGAGAATTTTCCAGCCAGCATGCTGGGAATTGCTAAAGGCCATCATTCCATGCATTTAATATCCTTCCCCCTTTCTCTTTTTCTGCAAAAGCTTAACTTGCAATTCTGTTTTCTATGAAATACTCACATCTCTCTTTAATAACAATAGAGCCTCTCCTGCTTACTTGAATATAGGATTCCACCTTGATATACACTGAGCAATTTCTTTAGGTGGTGGGAACTGTAATGGACCCAAAGAACTACAACCATTGAGTGAACTGTGTTTATTTCACTATGCCCACATGTATACTAGAATGAAATGCATTGCTTTTTTTACTGCAAATTGGACAAGGGAGGATTGGAGATCATTCTATAAGCACACGATTTGTGCATTTCTATCTCACTCATTTCTTTACTTACATGTAATTTCTTGTATTGCTTTAAAATCAGCATAGTAAATCAGCATAGAATTGGTCCTCAGTTCTATTTTTCTATCTTTCCTTAATTCTTCCTGAGCCAGCTTATTGTTGTTGCTATTATAGCTTTGCTTTATACATTACATAAAGCCACACACTACTTAACTCTAAATTATAATTGGCTGGGTTTTCATAATATATAAAAACACAGCAGAGGTTTCAAAGCACAATTTGATTTAGTGTACTATATGAACCAGGCTAGTGTACAAGCTGTTGTTTATTGTCCAAGACTACCCACTGCATGAGCCACAATTTTCCAAGCATTTGATTTCCAAATACAGATATTACTTTGCAGATTTCTCAATCCAATATCTTTAGATGAACTAAATAACATGTAGATCGAGAATTGCCAAATATATTTAAAAGCTGGTTCAGCACAAAGCAGGGCAGTTCCTGATGATGAAACATTTCTGAGTAAATAAATTCCATCCATCCTCAGCTGCCTAAACAGCTGTTTATGAAGTAAAGTTGGCACATCACTTGGTGCAACAAGTTTTTTGCTCTATTTTACTGTTTATCACTACATCCATTCATCCACACCACTGGTATAAAGAGCTAAAACTATCTGAATAAAATAAATTGTAACTTCCAATGACTTTCCCTCTTGTCGAAGAAATTGATTTAGAAAGTGGAAAATGTTCATATTCCCATAGTATATTTCAGAAATAGTTCCTAGAGAAATGCATATAGATATGTACTTTGTAGAAAGTAATTTAAATTCAAAATAACATATATTTTAACATTTGTCCTGCTACTACATGCGTAAATTCTTTCTCATAGCTAATTCATTATAATTCAGCATTTGGAGAGAAGAAAAATTATGCATATTGCATGCAATATTAATCCTGGACCAAAATAATACACTTAAACCATGCATGATTACCTTGTAATTTGTAGAAAGTTGTTTACTGCAGAATTATTTTTTCATGGACTATTAAATCGGAATATTCCCTTTGGATGCATTGCTCTCCTGTCTCTCTGTGTTGATAAAATGCAAAGCAGCTTTGAACTTTCTCCTGCTTTGAAGTCTGGAGTTTATTTCTGGATCACCCCATGATCAACATTTACAAGCCAAAATGTAAGTTGTTCTGCATATCAAATTTCCTGTCTGAAGTTTGAAACAAAATGACTTGTTACTTCTCTTTAGACTTCTTTCTGTAGCATTATAAGTTGTAGAACTTCACTTTGCCTAACTTCCTTTCACTAAATGACACAAAGCCAGCCCTTTTATTATAACACTATTCATTTGCTGTCCTGGACAAGTAGACCATATATGGCCATTCTGCTGATGGTGAAAGGAGGAAAAATTGCCTGTGATTCTCTTTAGCACATCTACTTCATTTATAGCCCTGGCTTTCTCTAAGATTGTTTCTCTTCTGGTATTTTTAAACTCCAAGTTCCATCAATGAGAACAAAGAGGTCAGGGATAATGGGAGGATTAATAATTGGCTGAAAGATTTTAAAGAGTGAGAAAGTGCTGTCTTAGTTCAGTGGAGAAGATGTAAGACAGATCTCTACATCTGAATTAACAAACTTTGAATTCTATATCAACAGGTATTACTCACCATTTTTAATCATAGGGGGAAAATACCTAAAAAATTAGAAATTTTGCATTGGAATGCTTCAACTTTAAAAAAATATTTAAATGTCTGCTTTTTCTATAAGACTTTTAATTCAGTTGGATATAAAAATTGGATAGGGTTGAAGATTTAATGCGCATGTTGGGCTAAGCAAGATGTATTAGTTATCTATAATTAGTTAATACATGGCTAATGCAACAAAATACAGTTTAGTTTGATATGTAAACCCACCTTTTTTTAAAAAAAATCATAGACTTAAAATGAAAATAGAAAGAGATTGTAGGTGAAGACTGTTATCTTCTACCCAATTTCCATGAACTGAATTGTAACAATCCTCTATAAGATTATTTTAATGAAAAGAGGGCTTTACTTTAATAAATAAATACAATCAATTTTAGAGGGATATTTATGTTATTTTGATGTAACAAAACTGACACCACTGTATTCCAGCTTAAAAATTACAACTACTACTATTCTGGGTGTCTCAGAACAAGCAACAAAAAATACAATAAAATTAACAGAAAGTAAAAAAAAAAAGATGGCAAGTAACATGATGAAATAAGAGGCCTGGGAGAGATGTTATATGTAATGTGTTCTTTTCCTGATACCAGAAGATTTTGTCACTCTTTTTTTCAGAAAAAGCTTGATCAAACAGTGTGGCTTTCCTTTAATTAGGCTGCTTTTCTGTCTTAATAATCTATGTTTATTCCTATTTTCTTAAAATTCAGTTTGGAGTTCTACAAAGTTATTATGCTTTATTAACAGAATGCAGTCACGTTTGGAGTACATTAATGATGGAAAAATAGACATTATTAATATTCTTTGAATTAACATCCCTTCCTGTTTGTTTTCTTAAAGCCTTGTGCAATACAGTGTCTGAGGTTATTTTCATACTGTTACTAGAACAAAATGTAGGCCATCATTTCTGAATTCAAGGCATGCATCTATCAAGGAATGCATCTGTTTCTGCTATTCTTTGAACTCTGCTGGCTGCACAGACATCATTGGTTGTATGAAGGAACTCAAGAGGCAATATTTTCCTTAGATATATCAAATCCAGCTGACCATCAGTAGTGAAACTTCAGACTATGGGAAATATTTATTTGTGTTAAGGCAAGACCTTCCAAAAATGATAAAGGACATTCTTAAAATTGTACTAGACCACTGAGCATTAAAAAAAACCCTGGCCTCAGTTCCTGCCCCTCAAGGCTGCATGACAGACAAACATCTGAGATGAGCCAAAAGCAAAGCAGAAGTTGAAAACAAAAGGCAAAGCAGGAAGTGGCATTCAGAAACCAGCCAAAAGTTGAAATGGATGAGAATTAGGGATGCAGAAACATAAGCCCACTTACACACCTTTCTGTTCATGAATGGTGAGTGATCAGTTTGAGTGGTCATTAAGATATTCTACTGAGGAGATGAGTCCCTTCTCACCATGAGGATAGTACATGTGCTTATACCTATACATACTTCTAGACCAAACATGAAGATGGCAGTCCATTTATTTCTATGACCAAACAGTTTATCATTGTCCATTTTATAACTCCAGAGCGGGGGTGATTTTCCCCTTGATCTCAAAGACTTCACCCTGATTTTCTGCTGCTTGAGTTTATACCTTGACTAGTCAAGAAACCAAAGCAACGAGAAGGAAAATTTTAAATATGACTTTCTTTTCCAGCAGTTGGGTAACTTTTGTTTTTTAAATAATGAAGTAGTTCTTTCACTCTTCTGAAAATATTGAGGCTTATTTTTGTGTATAATTTTTGTGTATAAAATACACACACACACATACACGTATATTAAAATGTCATTCCAATTTATATTGAGTAGAAATAGATTTTAATTTTTTTTATTTATTTAGTGAGTTTATGTTAAGATTAAAGACAATCTTTAATATTAAAGAAAAAATTAAAATTTGAAAAATGCAAACTAAGAAAGAAAAGAAAAAAATCAACACACTGTCTTAGTAATTAATTCAATTATAATATAATATTAGATTATTATAAGATATCCCAAAATGTCTGCCATACTAACAAATATTGTTGCATTCTTTTATCTTTTATTCTGTCTTTTTCAAAACAGATAAATCACACATATCCAGCAAACACTTCCAATTTCTCTGTATAATTACTTTACCAACACCCATGTTCAGCACATAATATCTGATAAACAGTCATATTCAAAAGCTTGTGTAGAAATAGTTTTGCCTTTTGCCTGGTGGACTTCGATGGATACCAGAGAGCAACTAAGCAGATTAAGAATGCCAAATAAAAATGGCTAGTCTTTATTAGCATTGTGGATCCTGCAGGAGAAATTCCTCCAGCATGTCCATTTAATGTTCATAATTTAATATTCAATTGCACAGCATTAGTAAAAGTTCATTATATGTCACCTGCAGGACTAAATCCTTAAAACTCTTGTTGGAGAAAGTACTAATTATTGTTTCTCTAAATTGGGGGTGGGCAACTAGGGCCCCTTTATGACCTGTGGACTTTCAACTCCCAGAATTCCTGAGCCAGTCATGCTCAAAGGCCATAGTTGACCACTCCTGCTCTAAATAGAACTGGGATAACATCATCAAGCAAAGAACTGCCAAGAGAAATGAATGGCCAAGAGGAAGAGAGACTTGCCAAAAATAAAAAATAAAAAAAATCAGAAGACAGAGGGGAAGTGAAAGCAGCAAAATTAAGTGAGAAGTGCAGTTTTCAGGAAAGGTTCCTGCTTCTGGTGTGAAAAAGCCCAGGTTGGTTTCTAAAATTAAAATTAACCTTCTTTTCAACTCTACTTTAATATGGAAGCCTGCTATGAATAAGTTAAGCAATTACATCCATTAAGATCTGATATAGATTTAAATATGCGATTTCATTCTAGATAGTTAGTTAGTTCTAGATTTTAGATAGCTAGATAGTTCTAGATTTTAGATAGTTTACAATAAACAAAAACATACACAAAATATCTTAGTAAACATACATGCACATACAAGCAAACATATATGCCCCCCCAAATTACTTACCATAATATCTACAGTAATTTTTCACCTGTTATACCTGTTTTCAAAGGACCACTGGAAAAACATATCTTGACTGCAGTTTGCAACAGCAGGAGAGGAACCATCCCATACGATTCAGAGAGTTGTGCTTTGGGTTTTAGAGATAGCTTATCTCTCTCTCTCTGTATGGAAAATACAGAGGTTTAAGAACCTAATGAAGAATTAATGAAACTGAATTAGGGTTCAGTTTCAAGAAAAAGTGTGATAAGTAGGCTTAGAATTGGTCCTAATTTCTCTTAACTAGGCATCCAGTCACTGAATGATATATACATTTTCTCCTACTCTGTCATAGCAAAGGCATGCAGTTGTTATATTGTTGAGTTTTGTATGTTCCCATGTATGGAGTTTTATTGTTCTGTATTGTGGTTACTATAGCTCAGGGATGTCAAACTCGCGGCCTGCAGGCCAGATGCGTCACGCACTGGCCACTGGTCTAGCAAAGGGGGAAAAAGTCCCAATACGTCACATGATGCCACCGTGACTACGTGAGTTTGACATCCTTGCTACAGCTGGAAAAAAAAACACCCCCATTTGCAAGAAGTGAACAGGCCTTTCTCCATATCCTCCTCCTCTTCCCCTTTTTTCCTCCTTTTTATCTATCTGATGTCACACAGCCTATTGTGTATTATGTTGTCTAACCCCGTTTGAATATACCGTACTTCAAAAACACCAATGTGGGAAAACTGGTATACAGAAACAGTATAGTTATCTGAGCCTCTCACTGCCATTTTAGCTGTCTGCTGTCTTAGGCTGATAAATCAAACCTTAGAAGAACTGACTGTTATTACAATCTTAGATTCACTTTGTGTAAATATCAAGAGAAGGTCAGGCACACAGCTTCAGAATGGAAGTAAAGTTAAAGTGGAACATAGAGTTATAAATAGAACTGGATTTTAAGCTAAAATAAAGGGAAGTGTATACACATATACATTCCCTTAGTGAATAAACATGGCTGTCTATGGTCTTTGCTTAGCAAATATCATTTGTTTTCAGATGTGGTTAAGAGGAATTTTTAATTAAAGCTTGTTGCTGAATTTTAAGAAATATTTGGAAAGCTTGTCTAGTTAGCAGTAGTCAAAGCAGAGCCAGGAAAACAAGAAATATAATTATATGACAAACACTTTTACTAAAAGTGTGTGATTGAAGTTCTACTCATTTAAAAAGGATTACTGTACAAACTGGTTTTAAGAGTTAAGATTCAGCCCTGACATGATTTTCACCTGCAAAAATAGCCAGTATCTTGACACTGTGTACACTTGACCTAAATAAAGAGAAATGTTCAAAGGACATTTACTACAAACTGACCATTTTTCTGACCATTTTTCATTCATAAAGATTAAGGAATAATGCAGAGAAAACAGATATGCAAAACAACTGTAGGGATTATCATCATCATCAAT